CAGCTCAATATTCCGGGCCAGGGCGGCCATCAGCTGCTCATCGATCTGCTCTAACTCGGCCACCCTCCGTTTCAGCTGGGCCTCCGACTGCTCCAGACCCTCACGGAAAACCCGAAATTCCGGGTCCTGCTTGAGTAGGTCCGCCAGCGCTTGATGCTTGACTCGGCACCGCCGATATTTCTTTACCACCTTGTTAAAGGTTGCTGCCTTCCTTTGCGCTCGCCGCCCCCTCTCTATCTCCAAAATGAGAGTCTAAAAAAGAGGAAAAGGATGAAAGGCAAGTCAGTATGCATCAAAATTTATTTTACGATGCATGAAGAGAATTGAAAAATACCTGTAAGGCAGCACCGGCAACCCTCCGGGATAGTTCCCCGTCGCTAACCCCTTGTAACATTTCACGCTCAGCAGCCGCACATAGCAGGGTCATATCCGCTGCTGCCTGCTCGCTGTGTTGCAACAGGTTATACCCTTCCGGGATCAGAATTCGACGGTTGGATCTACCTACCGTCATCCCTACACGGGCCGGACCCCGCGTTGACGCTTCTGCATCTGCCTGGGCGACCTCAGGGCCCGCCCTCTCGGCATCATCGTCCGCCTCCCCAACGGCAGCCGACGAGCCGCTCTCCGGAATGCGTGTTGACCTGGCGTCGAGAACGGCCCCCCTATGAGGAGCCGACCTCCCGGAACGGATGGCATCCGCCATAAAAACTGGCCTTGACTCTCGACGGGGCTCGCTCGCCCCCTCATCTGCCGTGGCTATCCCCTTGCCGGTTATCAACCGATGTCTTTTTCTTTCCGGCGTCTCCTCGCTCTTAGAAGTCTCCTCCACAGCCCGAGGGGATGGTGTCGAAGGAGTCGCTCCCCTCGCGGACGCCGCCACAGGCAGCGGTTGAGGAATCTCCGCGGCACCATCACTGGGCGAGCCGCAGGGAATGTATCCATCTTCAGAATCAGTACCCGCCCCAGGTAAGATGACGACGCTCTTTTTCTTCTTCTTAGGGGCGCTCCGACCTGCCAACGCGAATAAGTCAGATAACAAATACGTAGGGAATCCCCAAACCGTAGCCAAAGAATTACCTGACGGGCCGTACTGCCGAAGAAATGCAGCCCAGGTACGGCACTCTTCCGCATAGGGTATTATTCTTTCCACCCACGATTTAATGTCATCAACAAGCTGGGGTGGAGAAGCCCTCGCTGCGAATAAAAAAGAGAAGAACGAAAAACAAAGGTCACTATGGCCGTATGGTCGAAGGCGCAAGCAGCACTAAAATCTACAAGTAGAAATACTTACGTTCTGGATTCCATCTTTCCGGGAACCCCTCGGGATTCGACACCAGGTGCTCCGTCCTGATGTAGAAATATTTACGCCAAAAGCGGCGGTTGGGCTTATCATCGGCTTTAACGACCAAGCCCTTTGCGCCACGACCTTTCAACTGCAGCATGGTACCCCTCAGGTAACCAGCGCTGAACAACTGTAAGAGGTGGTGGACCGAGACGCTGCACCCGGCCCTGGCCGCATAAGTGGTCATGATACGGCACACCTTCAAAGTATAGGGAGTGAGCTGGGCCGGACACACATTGTAAAAACGGCAAAGCTCCTCCACCAGAGGGTAGATTGGAAGGTCGTAACCGATCAAGAACGGGTACTCATAGAAGGTGCAATATCCAGGCCGGTGCACATTGGCATAATCCGTCCCGGCCGGAACCATTTCCACGTGGTCCGGAATATGGTGCGTCTCTCGCAGATCATCTAAATAGGATTGTAGTAAAACGCTGTGCTCCCAGGGAAGATCAGGGCTTTTAGTTGGAAAATCCCTGCGACGTGCGTCTCCTTCGGAAGGACATTGTCTACGCTGAGAGGAACAAGGGCCTTCTCCGCCTTTTCCCCTTCACCACCGGAAGATAGCGGAACCCTAGACGGGGCATTATCTTTGGCCTTTTTATTATTCTGTCTGTGTTTTGTCATGATTATGCTACTTGAGAAACGAAGCACTGACGATAGGAAGTGTGGTTTCAACAGAAGTGGGAGAGTCCCTCACGAAATAACGGTTACAGGAAAGGAAGGCAAAGAAGTGTATCAGAAAATACTTTTCAGCGGCTTGAAAGTGGAATCAGATCAAACCTCCCTCATACTTATAAGGATAAGTTGCACAGGAATCGAAGAGTCATGATTCAAAACGTGCGCCGGAAACCAAAACGTCACTTCATCCTCTGAACCGCCTCGGGGGCAAATATAATGATGATGCATACATGCGATGACATCATTCCAAAAAGGAAGCCACGCGTCAGCGGCTCAACAACGTCATATGTTTAACTTCATTCATATTGCCGCCCCTGGTCGAGGTCAAATTCTCCTAAGCCGAGGTTCGTATTTCCGTCCGTCGAAGACGCCCAACGAACGCGTCTCCAACGAGCGGAGGGACTAACTGTATAGGGTCAAATTTGACCCTCAGTATCTCTACGCCAGTGGGTACGCCCAATGAGTGTACGCCGACCAATGTAGCGGGTACGACTCGGCCGTGAGGACAAAAGCGACATCGTTTAGAACTCAGCGTCCACACTAGGGAGACGTTACCTATCTTTGTAACTTTTTAATTCTTTCGAGGAAGGTCTCCTATTATATAAAGGAGACCTCCACATTGTAAAAAGGGGATCGAATCTAATACAACTCTCTCATTTTTTTGGCTTTCTCTCTCTATATCTCTACTTCTAACGAAAATATCTTATTGGTGAACATTGTCACTCTGCAATATTAGATCTACAACAATATTATCATCTTTGCATCTCTAGGCTTATTATATTTGATTACGATTTACCCCTCTTCTATTTTTGATTGTTTTATCGCTTACAAAGTATATCGTTAACTTTTGAGCCAAACAATGTTGTGAGTTAATTAGTGGACTTATAATATTTATCTTTTTTTGGTTAGTATTATTGATGGTTGCACTTACGAGAGCTTCCTTGTCTCCTTCCGACGGCATCGAGATTGAGGCACGAGACCCTACTCCGGGCTTTGGATCCATGAAGCCAAAGACTTTGAAGAGAATTACTAATTACTCAACAAATGTTTCGTTTCTTGAATAAATTAAATCTCTATCTAGTTAATGTAGAGTTTGGTTTCTTAATATTATATAACACCTGCAACATACTCCCTATATTATTTTATCTAGTATAACAATTCTGACTTTATTATTCATCACATAACCTTCTCTACATTATAATTCACAGTATATACATAACTTGTTTGTGAACCTAAAAACTGCTAATTCGTGGAATACAAACACATCTCCCCCTTTTTTTTTTTTTTTTTTTTTTTTTTTTTTTGTTAAATTACTTTACATTATATATAACATAGAAATCATTGCTTTTTACTTGTGTTAAGTTAAATGTGGCAATATTTTTAAAATTTTAAATAACCATGTGTCTTTGTAT